TAAGGACACTTTTTTGATGCCGCGCCGAGTGTCATTATAAGCGAAGTTGACTGTACACGAAAGTTGTGACGAAACCCAGAGTGTGCAGTTGGGATGGGTTGCTGTTACGGCGAGATTCCGAGATCACATCATTCTTTAGTGATGTAGTGAGTGCGTGCAGGATTCAAGCAGGTCTCCTGCTGCACAGCTGCAGCTCAGTTGTACGCACCATGCCATTTCCCGGTTCCGAAATATCCCAGACGTAATTATCTCTGAACAAATCTACAATAAAGCAGTCCTGTATGAAGTACAGTAAAACCGGTCAAGGCGACCACCTGGATAGGGCAACCACCTGTCCTAGAAGACCACTGCAACCAGGACCAAGGGATGCTATTTCCAGTCAAATGACCCTGGATAAGGAGACCACCTGGTAACAGAGACCACGTCTCGAAGGTCCCTTGAGCAGTCGCCTTAGGCAGGTTTCAATGTACCCTGGATATAAAAGGCGCGTGGCTCGTGTACGGCCGGTGTGGTTCGGTCACCACACCAGTAAATGGCCGTCATACGTACACACATGTACCAACAACACGTACACATGACGTACACGGAATAACGTACTACACCAAATAGATTAGAGTAGTAGTTTTACTTTTGAAGCCTTTCACACTGCACTTCTTTTCTCTCTTCCAGCTTGATTATTGCGTCCACGACATGCGGCTATGAATGACCCCTGTGGGCCCTGTCTGACATGTGAACTTTTCATGCGTTCTTGAATTCTTCTCTTATTTTCCTTCAGCATCCTGCCGTGAAACCTGTCATGGATGGTTCGTACAAGCACTCCAATCCTCCGGAGATCAAGGGCACGGGTTACGTGGTGAAAACACTGGAGGCAGCGCTCTGGGCTTTCTACCATACGGACGACTTTGAGTCGGGATGTTTGAAGGTTAGTTATGCTGAAGTACAGCACTGTCGGGCGCTGAAGAACAACCAGGCTAGAATTTCACCATCAACAGCATACCAATGTATATACCAGGGTTCTAGCCAAGGGGGGGGGGGGGGCGAAGCGCCCCCCCCCCCCCCCACACTGTTTGCGCACACCCCTGTGAAAAAGTGCCCCCCCCCCCCCCTTACTCATTTTCTTGTGTTTTTTCAGGCCATTCAACGAAAATACAGTCGATAGTCACTACTAGAGGGTTCATAAAGGCACATTTGTGAGGGGTGAAGTCGGGAGTTCACCCTGTATGTTACATTTTGCATGGCAAGACAATTTTAGAGAATGGGTTATGGGTTATGGGGTGACTTTTTCCAATGCCCCCCCCCCCCCCCCCCCCCCCTACTATTTTGACCTGGCTAGAACTCTTTACACTGGATGTGATTGTTATGTGTTTCTACTTCACCTCCTCCGGCTCCGCATCCAGTCGCACTGTGCATGCCTAAGTCATGCACAGTAGGTATGTTCTTACTTGAGATATTCGGTACCGCGGCAATGGTCACTTACTGTTAGGCATGCGCAGTGCTCCTGGATGCTATGAGGAGGCCGCTCGTAGAACTCCAATTGAAGATCGCTGAGGCTCCTCCAATTATACACTGTATAAATTTTGATTAGGGGTGAAACGGTTCGGGTAAGGAACCGGTTTTGGAACCGCCAGCTGAAAAGAATCGGGTACCCGTTCCGTCAAATGTCGACCCGAAACTCGAAAAATCTCGTTCTTGTACAAATACCGGTACATGTACACGTCAAGTCTACTCAAGATTTTAAATGTCTTACCTAAGTCCTTGCGATCCCCACTCTTCCAAAGAGTTCTCTTCTTCGCACTTGGACTCTCCGATGTCTCATTCTTGCTCGTAAAAATGTTTTTCTAAAAAATAATTGTCGCAAACGCATTTTGTCGGTCTGGAGAAAAGAGTGCATGGAACCGATACCCGAACCGTGGGAAACAATGCTGGCATTCGGGTACCCGAACATGAAAAACCTGGAACCGTTTCACCCCTAATTTTGATATAGTAATAATAATAATAATTTAATATCGAAGGTACGTGTTGGCTCGTAAGTATCCACGCAAACACACATCCAGTCAAAATAAGGCACTTGTCAAAGTATCCGAACGTTTTCGGTCCCTTCTCATCAAGGATTATACAGGGAATGGCTCAAGTTGGAAAGACTAAAACTTATATAGCGTAAAGATATGAGATAACAACACTCGTGACAAGGTGGAAAAAGTATCAAGTTCAGCACGACACAAAACTCGAACGAAATAATAATAGCGACAAAAAACATAGTGAGCAAATTAAGTTACATTGTTAACACCTCGACGAGGAGTAACACCAAACAATTGTAGCGATAACACATTTTCTTTCTGTACGCAAAGTTCAGGATCTAACTTACGGATATACAAAGCTTCTAACACAGCCAGATGCAACGCACATCTACCACGTGACAATATAGAGAACACATTATCACTGTACAACTCACGACAATTGGTACGGGCTGACAGATTTTGCTTGATGGACGAAGTGCGATTCCTAGCTCCGTTGGGTGTAGTCTCCTCCAATGTCCCGTCATCTCGCCTCTTCGCGGCATCACCACTATCCGTCTCTTTGCTTTTCCGCGGCCTTCCACGTTTTCTGACACTAGCCGTTGTGTGCGCGATGCCCAGTGTCCTTTCAGCTACGTCTCCTCCATTGCGGATTTCTATTGATCTTCTTCCTCCAACTTGTCCGGTGTTCGATATTGAGGTTCGTTTTCGCGGTCTACCACGTTTTCGAATATTGACTGTTGTTGTCACTTCCGTTGTCGTTGTACGTGCGTCCTCACCACCGTGGTCGTCCTCCAAAATGTGCTGTCCAGTCCATCGGTAGATCTTCCTCTTCCTGTGAAGATGTCACTGCATGCCCGTCCTCTTCCGCGTGTGTAGGGCAGGGTCCAGCTGAGAACAGCGCGAAAGATGGTGAAAGACCGACACGTAAACCACCGAAATTGACAAAGGATCTGTCTGCGTCGGGAAGGGTTACGCGAAGCCAAGTAAAAATACGGACTGGTGAGGACGCACGTACAACGACAACGGAAGTGACAACAACAGTCAATATTCGAAAACGTGGTAGACCGCGAAAACGAACCTCAATATCGAACACCGGACAAGTTGGAGGAAGAAGATCAATAGAAATCCGCAATGGAGGAGACATAGCTGAAAGGACACTGGGCATCGCGCACACAACGGCTAGTGTCAGAAAACGTGGAAGGCTGCGGAAAAGCAAAGAGACGGATAGTGGTGATGCCGCGAAGAGGCGAGATGACGGGACATTGGAGGAGACTACACCCAACGGAGCTAGGAATCGCACTTCGTCCATCAAGCAACATCTGTCAGCCCGTACCAATTGTCGTGAGTTGTACAGTGATAATGTGTTCTCAATATTGTCACGTGGTAGATGTGCGTTGCACCTGGCTGTGTTAGAAGCTTTGTATATCTGTAAGTTAGATCCTGAACTTTGCGTACAGAAAGAAAATGTGTTATCGCTACAATTGTTTGGTGTTACTCCTCGTCGAGGTGTTAACAATGTAACTTAATTTGCTCACTATGTTTTTTGTCGCTATTATTATTTCGTTCGAGTTTTGTGTCGTGCTGAACTTGATACTTTTTCCACCTTGTCACGAGTGTTGTTATCTCATATCTTTACGCTATATAAGTTTTAGTCTTTCCAACTTGAGCCATTCCCTGTATAATCCTTGATGAGAAGGGACCGAAAACGTTCGGATACTTTGACAAGTGCCTTATTTTGACTGGATGTGTGTTTGCGTGGATACTTACGACCCAACACGTACCTTCGATATTAAAGTATTATCCGCCTCCGACTTCTTGTAAAATAATAATAATAATAATAATAATAATAATAATGCAAAAAGACAACCCAATTTCGGAAATAAATAGAACACTCAATCGAAATATTATTATAGCTCACGATGGAATCAAACTCATGATGGAAACTACAACCCAATGAGTTGGAAAACCAACCACAGAATTAGATATTGGGAATAGAGTCAGACACAACAACAACCGAAATCAGTACACCAAAAATCTGTCCTACAAAAAACAAAGAAACAAGAAAAACAAGAAAGACGAAGTACAAAGAATCCAAAAAAAAAAGAAAAAAAAAAAGAAAAAAAAGAGGGGAGAACGGGATGAAAGAGGACCGGAGAGCGGCAAACCCCAGGAGGACTTAGCGACACGTAGTGGCGGGAATGCGGGCCTCCACAGAAACAGCATCCACATCCGCCGCCAGACCAGGTGCACGGAATGCACGGCGACTCCCACGAACCATCAGGACGGAGTCGCGGACAAGGCTGAAACCCAGGTCCGTCCGCAGCTTTCCCATCACGAGGGGATAAGGCTGCGGGAGCTTGGTGGAGAGCTTCGTTCCGAGCAGCTTCAGGAACCGGGTGGCCTCCTTCGCCAGGGCACCAGCAGAAGACAGGACGATCGGGGTGAACGACGCGTGCTCAACTTCCCGGATCCGGGCACCGTATGCCGACTGCTTCTGACGCTCGTGCCATTGGAACACCTCGGCCAGCGGGCGAGATCGGTACGACTGTGCGTTGGGATAGAACACCCTTACATCAAAAAATGCATCAGTCTGTACCGACCAAAACCCCCTGGCCTTGATGTCCGGTCTGGCGTCGTCCGCAGTGAGCAGGGCAGGACCATGGTCAAACGTGCGGACCGTCGGTAGAGGTTGCAGCGGTGGCTCCAGCTGCACATCCTCAGACACTTGAGAGAGAAGTTGGCCCAGGTAGTTGCGGACATGGTTGTGCCGGTGGATGGGATAGCCGCCCAACTTGCAGATCATTGCGTGGTCGATGGTGAACGGCCGGCCGCATGGACACTCGGTAGGTGAATCGTGGATGGTGAGGCCATACCGAATGCATAGGGCATCAACGAAGGACCGCCGGTCGAGGGAGTATCCATGCTCGCGAACAGGAAGACAGGTCAGCCATGCACCTGTTCCCTTGGCCTGGAGGTGCTCCA